ACGAAACAGAGCTTGCCAAAGCAAAAAAATACCTCTCAAACGTCTCTTTAGAAACACTCTAGGAGGTTTTAAAAAGAAAAAAAATACACCAGTTTGGGAGGGAGGAGGAAAAGAATTTCCACTGGAAAAAATCCTGGCATGGTCTAGTTTAGAAAAATTCATGCTTGTACTTTTAATTCCTGAAAAATCTTGTTTCACAAGAAAAAAAAATTCCACAGCCACATTCCTAGGCAGTGGAATTCCACAGTAAGGTCTCCAGTGACTTTCCAGTCTTTCAGACCTCTGGAGAGAAATGTTAAAGAGAAGTGTAAGCCAGGGTTGTCTGTGCAATATGAGCACAAACAAGCTGCAAGCACGGCATCCACCCTTTCCCTCGGTTATCCCCGTGGCCTCACATGCTCTGACATGGCAGGACTGCTGTTTTCCACGGATAACCTGTATCTCCACACAACACCTTAAAGGGGCCTGTTTTACCCAGTTCTCTCCCAGTATCACATTCAGCTCATCTGTTTCAAGGACATCGATGCTTGTAGTGAGACCTGAAGTGCAAATAAAGGGGACTGAAGTAAAAACGAAGTGGACCTTCCCCATTTAGCTGGGGAAGGTTTAAGATCCCAGCTATAATTCCAGGCTGAGGTCCCAAGGCACACACCCTGGATGCCAAATACATGCCGTGCTTTGCCAGTTAGTCTCCACTATTGTCTCTCCCCCTTGAACACCAGCCTGGGTCTGACAGTGACTCACATCAGCTTAATCCTAGCTCCAGAGGCTGGAATAATTTTATCCCCATCTGGAGCAACAATGCAGTGTCACAATCCAAAGGTTTTAAGGCATGAAGCAAAGAGCATCACATTCATGGGAAACCACCTAGAGGGTCAGCTGAGGACGGTCTTCCCTGCAGCCCAAATTTTGCTTGAATACAAGAATGAGACATGCCTGTTCCCTTGGAAGACGTGGAAGAAATCAGTTCATGACGGACAGAAACAAGATCTGACAACACATCATTAAAACTCCACTAACAAGGGGGAATTACTTTCTTTTTTTTTTGCTTATTGTTTTTAAGTATCACTTTTTTTTCTTTCCAGAAGTCATTATGTCCGACTCCATTAACATTCAGGTGAACAAGTGAAAGAACAACAGATGAGCATGATCTGGCAGCACAGGCACAGCTGCTGGGAGCAGGGCTTGCCTTTCTTTGCAGCAGCTCAGTGTTGAGTTCCCTCCTTGCCCTCCCTCACCCTGCACCCCCTCCCTCTCTGTACAGCACGGGTGATGGCTGGCAGCCACCACAGGACATTCCTGCTTCACACACAGTGCAAAGTCCGGGACAGCACAGAGGAAGGCAGGCAGCTGAGGGATCACAGTGCCTGGCCTCCCACTTGCTCTCAGCCAGGCTTTCCCCTGATGGTGAGGAGGGGCAGGTGGGAGCAGCAGCAGTGGCATTACCAGACCATCCACAGAAGGCAGACCAGCCCAGTCCCCATCCAGATGGCAGCACAGGACATTCTGGGCCATTTTTGGTCACTTTTGGAGGAACCCCTCAAGTGTGTGCAGGATTACCACCACACCCCCCTCCATCCCATGCTGAATTTCAGCACAGTGACTTTTTATGCAATCCACATTAGCTCCCCTACAGCTGTACCCCTCCTTCCCTTGGGGAGGGGCACAACTGCAGCAGCCACCCCTTCAGGCAAGCAACCTTTTTGCTTTCCCTCAGCACCAGTCCAGATGCATCCTCAGCTGGCCTGCAGGGTCCCCTCCCAGAGGCTGTAAAATCCCATGCTGTCAAAGCCTGGTTCACAAAGCATCCTGGTGTTAAGGTTAACGGGTTGTAAAATTGCAGCAGTTCATCACACTATGCACACTATGAGAAATGTTTATTAAATTGATTTTTGTTTCATTTCTTTAAAAAAAAAAGGCAGAAAGAAGTTAAACACACTGCTTTGTGGCATGCTCCACAGTATGAAAAAATCCCAAGCATTCAGTTAAGCTGTCAGCGGCTCTGTTTGACCTTTCGATGTGGTCTTTGAACTCAGACCTGGACAGTTGACACTCCTCATCCCCACCTCAGCTCACAGCCATTTTCTCAGCTGCCACTAGCTCCAGGAGGGATGCTTCCATGGAGAGGGAGGGGTTTGTATTTACAGCCTGCAATTCCACCCTTTTCTTCCCTGGGGCTCTGGAGAGGAGCAGTACAGAGTGCCACGTTGCACACACAAAGGCACAGGTATGCAGGAGAGGTGCTGGGGCAGAGCAGAAGTCCTGCCTTGTGGGTTTTCCCCCTTGACCTCAGCCAGCTTTGGGACTGACCAACTGGCAGAAGAGCCCCGTGGCTTTTGGATCTTGAGGGCTTGCAACGGGGCGAGTCCCCTCAGCCCTTCACAGCTCCCTTTCTAGTTTGTGTTAACTCAGGTCCAGCTTCACAGGAGACCCAAGTGGGTAGTTTTTTTTTCAGAGAGGGTTTCTCTCAACTACTTCACTGTTCTTAAGCATGATGGTTCCTCTGTCCCTGTTCTTCCAGGGCTGACTCCTCCAGCTGAGGACCATTCCATCAAGTGTGGGGACTCAGCTGGTAACTAAAGAAAACATTGTCTTCTCTGCAAGCATCCTTGTGTCCCTGCTCCCACAACCCTTCCCTAGCTGTTCCCCTCCTTGAGCACCTTTTCCTGTAGAAGCCACAGAAGCAGGAGATGGCTCAGGAAGCTGCCTCTGGAACTCTCTACAGTGGCAAGTCACCTCTGAAATGAGCCAGAGGGTGAATTTTACCCCCTGTGGGACACAGTCTGAGCAAACTTCCTGCTCTTCCTCCTCTCACAGCTCTCAGACTCCCTCTCCAAGTACCTCTTTCTCCCAATTATTCCTGCCTGGGACAACTCACACCCTTAAAGTACAATGTCTGAGGACACACCTGACCTGCATCGAGACCCAGTCTGTCTTCAAACAGAGCTCCAGCTATGTACACAGCATCAACTGAATACTGAACAATATCAAAAATACGGTATAAGGAAAAGAAAACAGAATTGAAATGCTTAATGGCATATTTATACACATTTACCAACAGTCAACAAAAAAGGTGGCAAGTTACACATCCATTCTGTATGCTGACAATCCTGATGCACATAGATGTAAACACACATGCTTGGATGATGCATATACATATGGCCACATAACAGAGTAGATGACCTGAAGGAGCTACGCTGGGGAGCAGGGGAAGGGGTTACCTACTGCAAAACCTCATCTCATTCTCAATGTGCACAACATGGACATTCAGGGCAGTGTTGCTTTAAGGCTATTTTTAAGGCTGAATCTTTTCTTGTCCAGCCTCTCAATATGAAGATCTGTTGAAGCACTTCCTCCTCTTTACCTAGCACAACTTGATATATATATATATCTATATATATTTACCTATATACTTTTTAAAGGCCCTATATACTAAAAGGCAAGAAGAGGAAAGGGGGGAGTAGAAGGGAAGAAAAACTTCTGAATGGATCAGTTTGCCCCAGTGCAGGAATCTTCTATCCTGTAATGGCAACAGCCACGACAGCCATGTGCAGTGGACAAGGCACTGGTTTGAAAATGACTGATGATTACAGGTCTCCCTCCCTGTCAGATCTGAAGTTCTCTGTTGTGACAAAGGGGGAGAAATACTTCAAGAAACAGAAATACTCCTGAAGTGGGGAAAGTGATCACTAATTTAAACTCCTCCCCTTACCTGCTTCAAGGTGGCAAAAGAGCTCAGATACTATAATTTCCAGCTCAAGTGCCCCTACGGCTAAGGAAAAGGCTTTGCTTAAAAATATATATCTATAGAACTATACATATAGATCATCTTTTTAGTGAAACTCTGATTTTATTACATAGCTCCTGGGTCACTCTCCCCCTCTATCTACATGGTGACAGAGTGGCATATAAAAGAAGCCACAGACATCAAAGTGATAACCAAAGTTACCAGATCACAAGAATGTGTTTCAACTGGTGCGATCTAACATGCTAAATTACCTTGATTTTATAAGCTGATCTGCTGTTAATATAACTGGAAGGTCTTAAAAATAACCATTTTTTTCATAATCAGATGATGACAATTTCTCAGCAATATTACAGTGTGTGACAATATGCTATAATTATGAATAATTTCACTGAACAAGAGAGTGATGCAAAGATGAAATATTAAGCATGTACACATATGGTTGGGAACACCCAAACATCATCCTGTAGTACATAAAAGCAGGATTTCTAAAGTCAAGAACTTTTTTTTATGTTGTTTTCTTTTTCCATTATCATTTCTATGTGAGCATTAGCTTAACAGTGGAAACTTGGTATAGAACTAGATTCTCCTTGAAACATATATCTATAATGAAACACTGAAGAACATTTAAAAAGTATTTTAGTTTTCAGTTTGTTATATTTGAAAAACTGGGACTAAAATTCACCCCCGGCCGGGGCCTTTTTATTGCATTGATTCATTGGACTTGGGCCATTTTTTAAATTTTTGGCCCCAGGGAAAAAAAAAAAACAAATCACAAAACCAAAAAATATTTTTACTCATTAGAGAGTAAAAAAGTTTCAGCATGACTTCTGTTAAGGACTGACCTACCAATGGAAACAGGCTGGAGAGGAACAATGCCTGTGTTTCCCCTGGGATACATTGCAGCCAGGCGATAGAGGCTGTATCCTTTCCCCTCCTCTCTCCCAGGCTTTGGACAGTCACCCAGGCTTCCCTAAGGACAGCTTGGAAACACCAGGAAGCTGGGGTGATGGTTGGAAAAGATGAGTATCAATTAACAAAAATACTGAATTCTGCTTCAGCATCCAATTAAAAAAGTTGGTAAAACCAAGGCAAAGTTTTCTGAGACCAGGCTGCACCCTTCTCCTCCGCACATCTTCCACCAGTGTTACTTCTGAGTTACTGGGGGAGGGGGAAGGGGAAGGAAGGACTTGATCTCCTGCCACAGCAGCTTTCCCATCACACAAAACTGATGTGTAACTAACTCAGCCACAAAGATACGGGCAAGTTTTATTTATTAAAAAAAAAAAAGTACTTCAAAATAAAAATGGTAAGTACTGTATGGTAATATTGGAAGCATTTATATACATAATTTTCTTTGTCTGTTGTTGAAATGTCTCCTGGTCACTCGGTGGCACTTGGGGTCCCCTCTAGCGCCGTCGGCCCTGATCCCCCCTTCCCCTGCCCGGCTCTCACAGCTCAGTAGACGGAGCTGTTCCTTATGCCACAGCACAGCACCATGCTCAGGATCATCTCAAAGATCTGTTGGGAGACAGGGGCACCAGTGAGGCAACAACCAGTACAGTGCAAGAGCTCCCCCATTCCAAGGTCCCCCACTCCACATTAACACTCTCATGCCAGAGGTAAGGGCAGGGTTGCAATGTCTTTGTGGCTGTTTTCATATGGAGTTGGCCAATTTGAGATAAGGTGCTGTCCTCCCGGTCTCTCACTGGCAGCAGTGGTGGTACCTAACAAGCTTTTTGGCTGCCAGCTACTCAGCAGATGCCTTGAGATCCCTCCAGCACTACAGCCCAGGCTTTGCACAGATGCCATGTTACACCTCCACAGCACCCAAGTCTCACTAGGGAGCAAACCCAAAGGAGCAAAGCAAGCAAATCCCTTCTCACTGCAGACCCCAGCAACAAAACATGGCAACCTGTAGAACAAGTGGTTTTGGAGGAGGTTTCAGTGGTGCTCTGCCCTTGTGCTTGCAGGTGCTCCTCTCTACTGAGCTTGGCAGGTGTCTCCCCTAACATCTCAACTCCCCAGAGGGATGATGAAACCCTTGGTCTCGCCATGTTCCAGAGCTCTGTGGTGCTTAGGGATGGTGCTGTGGAGTTGCAGGGGCATCCAGAGGAGAGGGATAGATCCAGCCCAGCTGGAAGAGGATCGGGGTGCCCCAAGGTGTCTTTTCCCAGTTCCACCAGGCTGTCACACTTACCATGATCACAGCAACCACGACAGCAGCGATACCGATCAGGTAGAGCTTCCCAGAGAAGAGCTCATCGATTTTTTTGTGGCAGTTTGTGTTCTGAGGCAGAGAAGCACACCAGTCAGACAGCCTGCTTTCCCCTCACCCACCCCCAGCACCGAGAAAGGTAGGTCAGCTTCCCCCTGGCCCAGGTCCTGGCCCCAGGACTTCCAACCAGACTTCACCCTTCTGCACCTGTCAGTCCCCTCAAGCAGGAACAGCAAAGGAATAACCAAATGGGAACCTTTAACATCCTTCTACACCATCCCCAAATAAATGAAATCTCTACCCTTTATCTGTTTCCCAATACATCCCAAAATCTCCTTGGCAGCCAAGGTTTCCTGAAGCAGCTGTGCCTACCTCAAAAAAGCTTTTCATGGAGTCCTTTCGACAGAGGTCATCCCTCCACAGAGGAGTGAAAGTCGATGTCATAATATCAGAACCACAACAGTCCAGCTATGTGGAGAGAGGAAAAGAGCAACAATGGAGAGCTAACATTAGCAGACAGCAAACACTTATGCAATGCTATCCCCACCATTACACATTCTTGAAGTCATCGAAGATTGAGGAGGCATCTTGGAGGGGGAAACAAGGGTGGGGAATAAGTCACCAAACCAACTTTTTTCTTTCCATACAATGCAGCTGCCTCCTACAATAGTCCCAGACAGATCTGCTGGAGGAGAGTGAACCCAACTGTCTCCAGGGATTTTGTTTCCTGCTGAATGGACCAATATCAGGATTAATTCCTCAGAGCTACATTCTTCTTCCATTGAATTTTACTTAAATCAGGGGTGCTGAGGTAAATGAAAGGCAACAGAGCTTGGTCCAGACTTCCCAGCACCGTGTGATGGAGAGAATACTGAAGAGACCACAACTCTGCTTCTTAAAAGGTAACAACAACAGACTTGATTAGGTTAAGACCTGCATGTAGTATCATCCACTTTGGACTGCTTTTCCCAACCACTTTCCTGACCTCCATTATTAATTCTCCAGCACAACCACCACCATCTTACCGTTTCATGGAAAGTCTTCACTACAGCTTTGGCGTTGCTTGCATCTGCGTCTCCCATGAGCGCTTGTTGAAGTGCTTGATCGTAGAACTGCTTCACGTCTTTGGCTATCTAGGAAAGACACAGGAAAAACTCCTTTTCAGCCAGAGGAGGAGAAAACCTACCCAGCACATGTGCCTGAAGGACAGGTTCCCTCTAATGGCACTTGGAGTAAGATGAGCAGTTTTTATATGAATTTGGACTCCATTTGTTTGCACAGGAAAAAAGGCCTGTCCTTCATAGGGCTCCCAGCCCCTCCAGCTGTCACAAATTCTAAGAACCCCATCCACCAGCCAGCAGATTCCAGACAACACTATCCACCAGCTCCACAGGCTCTATCTAGCAGACAAAGACAGCCAAGGCCTGGAGGATGAGCCACAAGTGGAGACAGCCTTCAGCCCACATAGATGTACTGCTGGTCTAACCACACATAGACAAAGCAGGCAAAACATATTTCCCACTGAGGCTGCAGAGGCTGGACAGGCTGGAAAAGTCACGAGGAGGTGGGGTGCACAGGCAAGGCTGTCTGTAAATATGGGCACCTTGGCTTACTGAGTGGCTCAGAGGGGATGGCAGGAATTTGGAAGATTGCATACTTAAAGCCTGATGAGACAACTCATTTGGGTCAGCTTAGGTGCATTTAGATGGATTTAAAACCATGGCTGAGTCCCTATGGACATCACTGTCCTGTAAGTGGTTATGTGAGACACCTTATCCAGATTCTAACCCTGCCATCTGGGTTAGAACTGCAACCACCCATGAGGGCCTGCTCCACAGTGCAAAAGTCTCCGAACTTTTAGGGGAACTGGCCTTGTGAATTCTCCTCTAGCACCTTTCAGTAATTTGAGAGAGAGTGATGAAAGAAGGCCATGCAAGAGAAGCGAAAGAAAAACATAAAAGTAAGAAAGGGAAAATGCTTTTTGGAACATCTGCTCTTGGCAGCACAGGCTGGATTAGCATACGAAAAAAGAAACTGCAGCAAGATGATGCACAATTTCAATCAATTATCCCAGAACTCTTTCATCACTACTCAAAAAAACTTGCTTTGGAGGATGATATTCTCCAACCAAATCATTTCATTCTGGTACACAAAAAAAAAAAAAATTAAAATCCTATTTATTGCCTCCCCATTCTGAATTTACAGCATCTCCAAGAAGGCAAGCTGAGGGAGAGACTGCCTTCAGCTTTGAGAAAAAGTGTCCCTTCTGGAAACATCTCTCGGTGCCTGGGATCATCCAGTGCTTCCCTCCCAGCCTGTGCTGCTCCCAACCAAGGCAGGGAGAAGCAAGCCTGCCTTGTGGGCAGGGACTTCAAAATAGCCCATTCATCATCAAGGCTGCAAAACTAGCTGAGGCAAACAGACTGCCACCCTTCATTTTAAACTGCAAAATTAATTTTAGGGGCTGAAGTCATCACTTCTGTATTGGGAAATCCTACATTTCTCAGCTTTATGCTCTAGTGGCCAAGCTCTTTCTCCCCAGGATGGGACACAACAGCCGTGGGGTCTCTCCTTACTCAGCCTTCACTTTTTTTTTTGCTGTCGGTTGCAGTTGCACATCTTGGGACTCTTCAGGATTCACAAACTAACATCTGCAGGACGCACAGCCCCTCTGCAGAGGTTAATTAGCTCACTAAAGTTGCTAGGAAACACCACTGTGCCTGCATAACAGTGTTTAGCCACAGAAGAGTTTATTCCAGTGAAGTCGTGCTCTCCCCTGAATGACTACAAGGGAGTTCCCATTCACAGTGAGCCTGCGAGCCATTGCTCACAAGCATGAGAAAGCTGAGCAGGCCAGCACCTACTTACACAGCTGGCTAACGTCTCTTAGGAAAGTAAACACATTTCCTACTCTGCCAGAGAGTCTAACCTTGGCTTTAAGCACAAGCAGTCCCCTTCTCTCCTCCAAACCCCTGAGGCCCCAGTGATGAGCACCCAGGCTGCTGCTTGCTGCAGCACAGCCATGGTTCCCATGCACGGGCAGTTCTGCGTTTCGAGGCCAAACCTGTGTGTGTGTGAGCACACATGACCACAGTGGAGGGAAGGTGAGCAGAAACAGAAGGTGAAAAGCTGTAATTTCCAGTTCTACCCTTCAGTTCAGCTCCTCCAGCCAGGAAACCTTATCTGAGCAGTCCCTAGCAGGGACAGATAGAGGACTTGGACCCCTCCTGTGTGCACAGCATATGGATCACAGCAAGCCCAGCGCTGGCAGACAAATGACCTGAAGCAGGTTCTGTGACACTGGAGAAGAGCAGGAAACACAAGCAATGCCGTTAATGCAGGCTGTGCCTGAACAGCATTCCCACCCTTTGGCACTACCCGGCAGGGCTCGCTCCTCGTTCCCTGGCACTGAGGACCTGCAGATGGCTTTCCCTCACAACTTCATGCCCGAATCCACTCCCTCTGTGACTGACAGCGTGGCAGCAAGGAGACCCAAGTGAGACAGGCTATTTTTATTCCAGACTCTGCACTACATACCCTAAGGGCAGCTGCTACCTCAAGTGCTCACATTTAAAGTTCATCAGCCCAGCCAAGAGGAGTGAGGTGGCCTGCCCAGGTCACACCGCTAATCCAAGCTCCCATTACTCAGTCTGGGAGCAGTTTGTGAGCAAAACAGCTCATGCTGGGATCTGCTGCCGTTCTGCCCCAGCCTCCCAGTCCCATAAACACAGGTTTTAGAGCCTTACTTGGTCTTTGTTGACAAAACCCCAAATTCCAGCTGCAACTTCGCAGGCAAACAGGATCACCAGGCAAGTGAAGAACTGCAAAGACAAATCAAGAGAAGGATCCTTAACATATCTGCAGCAATTCGGTGGGGAGAGGTGTGGAGCAGCACTTCCACTGACAAAGCAGAGCAAGGTGTCATCTGACTTCAAATCATTTTCTCCCTCATACATGCACTGAACCCAAACACATTTTCCTGTAACTCATCACATACCACCCCAAGTCCAGACTGTTGAGCAGGGATTAGCAAAACCTTTCCCACAAAGGGACTGGCAGGAATGAAGATGCCCTGTGTAGCACAAGATATATTGCTCCACTTCATGCACCTGCAGGACCATCCAGAAAAGGTTTCTGCTCTGCCATAAATGCTCTGGACTGGAATTGCCAGTGCAGGGTTAAAAGCACATTTCAGCTGCTGAGGAGCTGGGGATGTCAGGGTGTGATTTATGGCCAGCTCTCTGGCATCCACAGCCCTGCAAGGCTACTGCAGTTTTTTGCATAAATACTAACACTGACGTTTTCCCACAGTCCCACCCTGTTTGTGCAATTCCAGCATTCCTCTCTGCCATCCTCCCTTTTTGTTCAGATCCCGGGAACACATTGTGATGGTTGGTCAGTTGGACTGGGAATGGGAAGCTGTAAATTCATACATCAGCATCACATGAGAAGACACAGAGAGGCATGCTCCATGTGCAGCCAACATCACCCAGTGACTTCTTCCTGGGAAAAAGCCCCCAAAGTGGGAGAAGTTGCCATGAAAGTCAAGAAGCAAAAAAGGTCAACACAGTCAAGAAAACACAAAATTACAGTATAGGGTGGGAAAACAGCCCCTGGCTCCTGAGCAGTCTCTGTTCAAAACATTCAGGACACTTTCTCCAACAATAGATAAAACAGGAGTTTCCAGAATGATGCCATGACCTGGTTCTCACATGCAAAAGCAAAGGGTTATCAGCAAAATGGAAACAAGACTATTAACCTGACAGCAGGAAAGGACTTCCAACATCCTTGACTGGTCCTGAACGATCAACTCCTATGTGAAAATCTATCTATTCCTAATTTTGTAGGAACATCTTTGAAAGACTAGGTCCCACATGCCCCACAAGGACTCACAGCACCATAAACTGTGGGTGCAATGCCACTCTGAGTCTGGTTAAGCACTAGGGCTCACTCCTGCAGTGGTTACCCTTCAGTGAAGGATAGTTTGTTTATCCCAGATGTGGAGGTACTACCTCCTGCTGATTCAGTTCTTCTGTAAGCTGCCTGCTGAACACCAGGAGATGCAGCTTGATGCTATGGGAACATAGTGGTGGTCCTGGCCAGGCAGCTGGCTGGGTCCCAGCCCCTTTCCAGGGAGCAGAGCCTGCTCCATACCAAGTGGCTCCCTCTTGTCTTCCTTAGGTCTTGCTGCTCAGCTTCCATGCCACCTTTGGCACAGGATTTTAATAGCGTGGAGCTTTCTGGTACTTCTCCCTTTTGCAGTAAGCCCAAAGTCACTCCCTCAGCTAGGTGGTGGAAAGGGGAGCACAGCTGCTTCCCTCAAGCACCCCAAGGATGCTGCCTGAAAATGTTCTTGGAGCACAGTGGGAGCCTTGGCCAGCAGAAAGCATCCTCATGGGGCATCTCCAGACTTTTCTTGGCAAGCCAAGGTGTGAGCAAACACAGGCAGTGCACAGCAGCTAGAGCTGCTAATTTCAGCCAGAGCAGCCGGTTTCCCTGTCAGACCTCGGGTACCTTGCACCATCTGCCCTTCTAATCCTCTAACTTCAGGAGAGAGAGAGAGAGGTGGTTCAGGGTCTGTAATCACTTGCATTGACAAAACAAAATAAAAATCTAAAGCTGCCAAACTATGCTCCAACAACCCTTGTCAGATTTGTGTGTGGGCTCCCTGCATTCCCAGCAGCCAGGATAATGCCTGCAAACTCCTACTGGAGCTCCCATCCACTACATTCAGAAGCGTTTTATCAACACTGGAGAAAAGCATCCCCTTATTATTGGGAACCAGCAGCAATCAGAGGTGAAGTCATCTGCAAGAGTGAGGCTAAGCAGCTTCCTTTCCCTCTGTCCCCCACACCCATGAGCTGCTACACTACCACCAAGAACCCTCCAGCTGAATGAAGCCAAGTGCTGGAAAGTCATTCAAATTAAAAAAAAAAAAAAAATTATGATTTACCTTTCCAGTTTTATTTTTTATGCATCAAGTTTAAACTGAACCACATGTGAGAACTTGCTTTAAATAAATGGGTCTCCCTTGCTCCCAAGGTAAAGGCTTTTGGTGTGGCTACAGTTTATCCAATTAAGCTCATCCTGTGCCAGGAATCCTGAGCTGCTGCCTCACATCAAGGATGCCTGTAGCACTTCGGTAATGGATTTTCCAGGATGTACCTAGATGTTCTCACTAAGAAATTATGGAAAATCTTTGCTGTTTCCTTGTCCAAACAGATAAAAATAGTAGATGATTCCTTAAAAGAACTAGAATTGCTACAGGCAGCCTTCACACAGAGTGAGAAGGGATGCTGTAGGGAACACCAGGTAAGAAAGAGTGTTCAGTGGGTGCTTGGTAAGACATCCAGACCATGGAGAGATAACTGCAAGGTGAGGGTTCACATGTAACAGAGAAAGAGTCTCTAAGAATCCTGCTGATCTCACCCCTTCTGCCCTGCAGCCAGCCACAGGCAGGACATTGCAGCACACCTGCCAGCTCAGCCAGGGCTCCACAGGGTGGGCAGAAACACCCTCAGCCACCCAGCTCCCACCTAGTGCTCACACATCCTCCCACCCCGCTTGTTGGGAAACACCCAGCAAGGGAAGCACAGCCATTGCCACCCCGCAGGGAAATCAGGGTGCCAAGTGACTTCCAGAGCTTTGCGTCTCCTACCGTTCCCAGAAGACACTGAGACTCCTGAATGGCGCCGTAGCATCCCAGGAATCCCACAAACATCATGACAGCTCCGACTGCGATCAGGATGTAGATTCCTGCAAGCGAAGTGAGAGGCAGACATGTTACTGCACAGCTCTGTCCACCCTCGTGCCTGGCTGGACATTCTGGCTCCTGAGGTGGAGAATTACGGGCGTGCAGAATTAAAGCTCAGGAGGTGTGATGGCAGCAGACATAACGGAACACAACGTACATGAGTTGGGTCTCAAAGTGTTTGAAGCTGCCAACACTGGAGCTTGAATAATTCCATCACCTCCAAAATGAGAGAATATGCTGAGAGTAGCACTAGGCAGAGGATGTAGGAGGCATGACAATGGCTCTACAACATCCTCACAGCTGTAGCACGGAGTTACCCTGGCATGGCACTTTAAATATTTAAGCAGAGATGGAAATTATTAGTTAGCATATATTGTAAAATAAACAGTAAGGCACATGGTTTATTTATATTAAACATCATACAAATATTTATCTGGCTAACATTTAAAAGGCAGATGAACCACAAAACCAAAGGGAAAGTACTGCTTAAGCATCTCACTTAAAATCTGGTGTTTTTCTTTGTTATAGGTTCTTCCACAGAGTATACAACATTTTTTACTTTAACTTATTGAATTTGCACAGGCAACTTACACCATAACTAGCTCAAAGCTTGAAATGAGGCATCAAGAGTGGTTCAGAAAACAGAGGAATAAAAGTTTATTCATACAGGAAACAAGAGCTTATCTCAAGGCTCAAATCTGCTGCCGTGAGTAATCGTCATGGTCTCACCAACCACGAGACTGGTGAAGCCATAGTGATTACTCAGCCAAACACTACCAGCTCAGTTAAACTGGACACAGATTTTTGCTGGTGTATCTCTTAGTTTTAGTGCATTTTTGGTTAACTAATATTCTCAAGTATTGTCGTTCTACTACTAAGTGAATCTTATTTCCCATTCAAAAGCAATTTGATACATGCAAAAATTACAGATCAGATAAGACTTCACTCACTATCTCTAATGGACAGCGAAGAAAAAAAAGAACCATGATGAGGATAAAAGAACATGGGGCATCCCAGACGTAACAGCAATACAGTGAATATTACTAGTGGTTGGGAGACACATCCCTTCAATGAAATGCTTTCTTCTGCTACGAGTGAAAATGTTTTATAGTTATTAATCAGACTGTCAGCTTTCCTTTAGGGACAGCCCTAATATATAAACAGAGCTCAAGATTAAAATTGTTTGTAAATGCTTGTGATGTTTAAGGTTTTCCTTATCTCCGTAGCTTTTAAACAATCTTCTGATAATTAAAATGCAAAGTCCAAAGGCCATGCAATGAGAGCAGAGTGAAGTCAAGTAAACCCTTCCCTAAAACACCAGATACACAATAACGGTCTCCACTTGTTTAGCATTCCCTTATGGATTCTTCAAACTTGGGAAAGGCTGGATTTGGCTCCTGCTTCTTCCCTCCTCGATACAAAGCCCACGAGCACGCCAAAAGCGCCGGTGCAAGGGCTGACTTGGCGAGTGGCGGTGACGGAAACGCCGCCCCAGCGGCTCCGGCGCTGGGACTCTCCGGTGTTTCTCAGCAGCACCGCGCTCCATCTATTTTTAGGCACTGCAGGAGGGAGGAAGCCAGCTGCAGGGGAAGTGCCACAATGGAGCATGCTGACCCCGCAGGAAGCCCCTCTTCACAAAACCTGACGGGAGCTGCGGCCGGAGACACCAACATCCTTGTGGCAACGGGGGCCGGAGGTGCGAGCTGCACCTCCCGAGGTGTTCTGAAGGGTTTTCAGCAGAGCCCGGGAGCCACGAAATCCCAACAGGCAAAAACGCTCCCCAGGTGGGGATGAGACACCTCCTTAGGTGAAGGTGTGCAAAGAAAGGAAAAACAAGCAAAAGAAACCTCCCAGGAGAGTTCCTTGGAAAGGACAGATGAAGCTCTGTAGGTCTGGCTGAAGGGGAAGGAAGTGGTTTTGTCCCAATGGTTGGAGATAGCGTGAGGTGGAGCAGCTGGGCAGGGAGACAGCATGGCAAACAGTGGGCTGGGCTGTGTGCAGGACAGAGGGGCCCCAAAGGGCTTGGGGGTGGTGGGAAGGCATTACTAAACCCTGCACAATGAAGGCAGTCTGCTGGACACCTGCCAAGCCCCAGAGAATTGGTGGAGGCTGTCAGACACTGCATAACTGCTGTCTCTTGAAGAACAACATACCAGTAGTGGTGTCCCAAACACGGTCTGCTCACTGCCACCAGAAGCTGCTAATGCCCAAGAACCAGCCCTCACCATCCAGCTTGTACCAGTGAAGCTGCTGGTTTGGGTTTTCAACACAAACCACGGCAGATATTTATATTTTAAGCGCTGGGCAGTTCAATTGAAAAGTCTTCATCACAAGTCAGAAAAACAACTTTCCTCATCCCTGAGTGCAGCAGTTTCTGACTTCTTCTTCCATTAGGACACTAGAGAGAAGACACAGCTGTGCAAAGGGGTGAGTAATTTCCACGTCTGACAAGTCACTATTCATGCTAACCACTCCAGTGTATGGGTAACAAGCAGATGCAGCACATTTGAAGACCAAGCAGCATGATGTGGGGACCCCAACAATGAGGTCACCACAGACAGAAGGTTTTGTTGTAAATTTTATCAAAATAAACACTGAAAGCACTTTCTGAACAAATACTGCCAGGAGATCAGAGTTACAGGGCAGCCCAGGTTGAAGTGACCTCAAATGATTACTGGGTCCAACCTTTTTTGAGGCTAGGAACCTTAGGAGCGACTATGCAGAACTGTGCCCAATTACACCTTGAAAATCTCCAGTAATAGGGACTGTATTGTGTCCCTGGGGAGGTTTTTCTAGTGAATAATTGCTTTCACTATAAAAGACGTTTTTCTGATATTGAGATCATCAGGAAAACACAGGACCCAGAGGTGGCCAGGACAGTTCTGCTCTGAAAACTAAGAAATGACAGGCCAGTGAGACCCTCAAATGATGGAGGAGACTAAGAGGAAACACAGACATTTGCTGTTTTAGAGAAGTTTTCCAGTGACCTCTGTACTTGCTTCTTTCTGGGATTTCTGGCAGCTTCAAAAAAACAAAACCAATCCTGACCTGCTGAACTCCCACCCCAGGAAGGCTGTGCAGACCTTGGACTGTCAAGTGAGGTCCCAGCTTCCTGCTTCTCTCCCTGCTCTCACTTCACCAGCTCCTCATCAGAGCCAGCACTGCTATCAAGTGAGGAAACAGCAAGAAGGGAAGGAGGGGAGGGAAGAAGATGTGCACCACGTGCAGCTTCCTGACCGGAGCCCAGCGGATGCGAGCAGTGCGGTGGGAGCAGCGGGAATGTGCAGCCAGGTGGGGGAGAGGGCAGCCACGACTGGCCTGAGCTCGGCAAACCACAAAAAAAAAACCCTGGAAGGTTTTTGGAATAAAGGCCAGCTTCATTCCCAGGCACAAACAAGCGGCTGTTATGGAGTTGCCTTTTGTTATCGAGGGCCAGAACATGACAGCCTCTCCCGGGAGGCAGCAGAGCAGGACTCTGTGCTGGAGTTTATTTAAAAACAAGCACAAAATATTTACTGCAAAAATAGCATGTGCAATGAGGAATGCCGGCGGTGTTTCGCCACAGAGATGCCACGCTGAAGGCTGGGAAAGCAAAGGAAGGCAATCCAAGTGCCCAACCACATGCTTTGAACGGTGTTTGTTTTCCCACACCCATCCTTCTCCTCAAGGAATGGGGCTGGTGGGGGATTCTCCACTTTCAGACTGGGTGCCAGGCAGCTGGGGGACTATTTCACAGCAATCACGGTGCAGACTGGAACGACCAAGCCCTTTTCCCAGAAAGCAGCCTGACACATCTTAGCTTTCATTCCTGGCACACAGGGACGATGACGCCTACTGTGGTTTTGGGCTTCGTCTCTGTGAGCAAGGCACCTGTCATCCCATCCTGGAATGGCAAATTATCCTCCTCAAAGTCAGAGGAGACTCCTCACAAGCCTCACCCTCCTTTGTGTAAGCATCAGAGACTGGTTAACCCCCTAAATCCTCTCCTGGGTGAGGAACTCTTGACTAAAATGGTTATTTGCTCCTGCAGGGCTCCACCCAAACTGGCACAATTTGGCATGAGCAAAGCTCCATCTGCCTTTCACACGCCACTTCCCAGCTCATTTTTATTGCAGCTTTCTCTGGGGTTTTACAACAAGCAGCCTGTTTGCTGTAAACAAAAAGTAAAATGAGAGAGGTATAAACTGCAATCTGCAGTGCCTACAGCCATGCTGCCCCCTCACTCAGCAGCAGTACACAAGAGAACAGCTGGAGAACAGCCACAGGTACAGTGAGCAAATCGTGTACAGGTGTTCATGGTACCAAGGCACCTCCACATCCTTAAGCAGCACTCACTATGATTTCTAACCCTATGGCATGGTTCTCTGATAAGGCAGCAACAAGAAAGACTGCTACAAATGCCACCCATAACCAGCTACACACCAAAGCAAGCTGTGAGCCTCAGGACCGTATCTGGGAATTGGAGAAGTCAGAGGAGTGGTGTCAATACTGCCTTGGAGTTCTCCATCTCCTTTTGAGATGGAGCTTTCAAAGCAGAAAGCTTTAGGAGAGAGACCAACCACTCTCAACTCCACCTCCTCATCTGAATTCAAAGCAGGAGCACAGGAACTATGATATGATCTCCCTCAAGAGCAACATGATCTGGACATGATAAGGAAAAGCAGCAGCAGTGGGCCAAACACCATCATCCCTCTTTCACCAGTACAACCAGGGCACATGCTGCTTTAGGCTGCAGGGATCTTGTAAAGCTTTAGGAAAGCCCCCAAACACCAGAGAAAGGAAACTGATAGTTATTGAACACTGCTCTTGGTTTGATGCTAGCTAGGAAAGAGGAAAAAGAAAAGCAGCCAAGAGGCCAGCTTAGCTTCCAGCCCAAGCAGATGATGCCTCCATGGAAGGCCCTTTACCTGCAGGCCAGGTAGGAAGCAAAATGATCAGTTCTGGGAGCAGGGAAGGGAGCAAAAAAGGCAGTATTCAGTGTCAGTACTTGCTTTGGCATCAA